CCCTACGAGGAGCTTCACAGCGAGGCTAGAGATGTCCCTTTTCTTCAGACAGGGTCGAAGCGGTCAGCCCAGGCCACAGAGTCAAGCAGTATGATTAACGAATAAAAAGGGAACCACTCACCCTCGAGGTTGATTATTATTATCAGGGGAGGCGGCTGGCCCAGCGTCAAAACTGCTGCGGCTGCGAAGGGGAGATGACGGTGCCAGGGGTGGCTGATACTGCGACGGGGGGCGGGCGAGCGGCTTTTCAACAAGCTGCCAGCTCTCTCTCCACACGCAAAGAGATGGATGTCGTCAAGAAGAGGAGAAACCAGGCCGCGAGGAAACCTGATGCTGCTGGTTTATGATGGAGCTGAGCTGGGCTATGCTATGCCACCCAACCCTGTGGAGAATCTTATTTTTTTTCCCTCCTGGCTTGTTGTCTGACGGCGGATCAGCCAGACAGACTGCAGGAGACGAGGAAGTCGAAGAAGAAAAGAAAAGGCCCTTTGGTCAAGAATCCCTACAGAAAAGAAGCTCTTCTTACAGGGGGTGCTGCCCGAAGCATTTATATTTATATACAGAGCGACCACCACGGCCAGCAGGGGAGGCATTATTTAAAATAATATCGCCGAGCAGCGAACTACTTAAAGGGCACTTCCAGCTAATTAATGAATGGCTTTCTCCTCCCGCCATCGCTCTCGCTAGCTGGCCATACTTCCCCCCCTCGTCCTCCTCCCATCCCTTTTCTTTTCTTTTCTTTTCCTCCTCCTTTTCTTCTTCTTCGTCTTCGTGTTTTTTTTTTTTTTTTCTCTCACCAAAAAGTTTTTTCTTCCCCAAAAATTTGGACGCCACACAAACCACGTGACCTCATCATCGGCGGGTTTTTTGGCAGCTCAAAAACGAGCAAAAAGGAGGGCGGCGGCGGCGGCGGCAGCAGCTGGTAGGTAGGTTGATAGGTAGGTAGGTAGGTAGGTAGGACTAGGTGGTACATCGTGTGTTGTATGTAATGATATACGGGGTGCAGGGTTGCGGATGACAGGAGGGACAAGGCAAGGCTAGGCCGGGTGTGTTGCATGGACGGCGGCCGCGGCTGTCGGCGATGACGGTGGTCGGCGGTCAGAGGAACGACGACGCCAGGCTGGATGCATATTCGCTGGGTGCATATTTGCTGGGCTGGCCTGAAGACGGCGACCGCTGCGGTCCTTACGACGGCCGGGAAGGGTAAAGAGCCCAAGATAGATGAAGCCTGGCTCTTTGTCTAGCCGCCGCCGCCCATCCGCTTCAGGTTTTCGCCGCTGGTGGTTCTATTGTTCCACATTATTGTTCCCTCGTAGCCGTTTTGCGTGTTCAAAGTACTCCCTATGTAGCTCGCTAGCTATTCATTCATTCATTCATATCATTGTTATTATGTAGCGAGAGACGCCGTTAACGTCCTACCCCGCATCGAGTAGTCGATCTGTACATTCACATCTAGCCTGCCAGCCTGGCCGGGATATGCATGCAGCAGCCCGCGGCACGACGGGGCAAACACCTTGGTTAACTAGCTGCGTCGTTTTATTTTATTTTATTTTTTTTTTTCTTTGGGCTTGCTTGGGCTACGAAGGACGAAGGAAGAAAGCAGTCCGGAGGAATGGGGGAGAGTTGCTGATTAATAAGCGAGAGGACTGATATTTCAGTTGCGTCACGTGAATAATGCTCTGTATTAGATAAGAGGGTTTAGACAAGCCAACCAATAGAAGCACGAGAGCCATAAGGAAGCCCGCTATAGTCAAACTTAGCAGGTCAGAACAAGCAGTGAGAAAGAAGCATTGAACCGAGCAGAAGAGTGCTTCGGGAGGTGAGTGAAATACTTCGTGCTGGGTCCAATATTAAGGGATGCCATACCGCTACTAGCTCTCATACCTTGGGATCGACCGGTCAGCGCTGAATATTGAGTCTGGACACCTCATGCATGATCCTGCATAGGGAGCCAGCCTGAAAGCAGGCTGGAGCAGAATAGCTTACAGCTAGCTATGCTCCGGCCAATCCTCAGCACATCACCCGTCGCTGCTCAGCACAACGTAACACAACGTAAGCTAGCCATGACGTGAGCTCTTCCCCAGACGACCGGCGGCGTCAGTCTCTTCAATTTGATGGCCTCACCTCGCCGCCGCGCAGTTACAGTTGATAAATATCTTGGAACATGATATCATCGACAGAGTTTTAAAAATGCTTAGCTTGGAATCGTAGACGGTGATTCGTAGAGTCTCCTAGAATTCCATGAAGTCTGTCAAGGAAAAAGGCGGATGTGTCGTAACGGAGTTAACTGCAATGACGACGACTATTCAGAGCTTTAACATGCTTCATCGAGAAGATGCGTTGTTACCGGAAAACTGCTATTGTGCAGAGTTTTGTTTCAAGGGAGCCCGCCTTCCCACGACTTGTGGATGGTCTCCAACTCTAGAGATCAGCTCCTTACTATCATAGACCATAATACAGGTGGCATTTGCCACGGTATCCTGTGCTGTATAGGTTAAATTAAGCATAAACTGACGTAGAAGACTGTTCCTGGTGTTGCAATAGTACACTCCGCTCATCACCGCCATAACACTTGTCGTCACTCTAGTCTTCTCAAGGGACGTACGGAGTAACAATCGAGCAATAAAAAACGATTTTATCAGTATTCCATCACAAGACAGAGAAAATTTGAGCAGAATGTTTCATGAAAGGGCCCCCGGCCTTGCTGTTTCTTTACGCGCCGGTCTTGCCTACTGACCCTTGACGGCGCGTAGCTGCTTCCAGCGTCCGCTTTTCTGTCTCTAGTTATGCATCTTCTCGTATCTTCCATCTTCACTCTTCCGTCTTCCACCTGCTCGACCCGAAGTATTCCTGAATGCAACACTCCGTCATACCGTTCTGTCATTCCCACGCTGCGGCAAAAGCCATCAGTCAACGCCGTCATAGTAACGGCGAGTTCAACCGTCAGGCGCCTTCGGTGGTTGTAATAAGGTTAAAGTACGGGAAGAGGCGCGACGTCGAGAGCCAACCAGACGCCGCGCCAAGCCAGATCCTGCGACTTCAACTCCTAGTTTCGAAACTTCAACTATCGACACTGTCAAGCGCCCGGACTGCTTGATGCACCAGACAACCCCTGCCCTACTGTCTCCAGACATCTCTTCCTGCTCAGGCCGGGCCAATAATCGGCCTCAGCTTGGACTGTTATACCCCCGGCGACAGATGAACGTCATGGTTTGCAGGCCAGGGTGTTTTTGCGTTCTAGGTTCAATGCATTATTCTGGTCCGAGTTTTCAAGGGCTGAGCCATGGGTTGAAACATTGCAGTGGGCAGGTTACCAGGTAACATGTCAGGCAAAAGAGCGCACTTCTCTGGTTGATTGGCTGCCATTAGCTCAGTGGAATGAGCAGGATCTCATAGGGGTTAATTGTACACCCGTCTGCTCCTGCTCTTCAGTCTACCCATGTCACTGTCTATAAATATATACAAGATATGTACATATATATAGGGTGGCAGTGACAACTTGTGCTATCTTCACGTTTTACAGGATAACTATTATACTTATTTTCCTATTCATACTTCTTAGTGTTGCTGGCCAACATTTTCTTTCCATTCACACTTGACTATTGATACCCATACTCTTGTGTTCTTTCTATATATTAGTTTTACTTGCCTATACTGAAGACTTCTTTCCTTATTTTTTTCAACTCTCTTTCTGCTCCAGACCTTGGCACAACATTCCTTCCCTTGGTTCATACGCCTACCGCTGCGTGCTTGCCCAAAGAACCTTACGGACTGTTGTTACCTCACAACTGCCACATCCAAACCACGGATTCGATATCAGCGTTGTCATCACTATACAGGCGCTCCTTCCTACCGCATCATCAGTTTTGACGTCATCGACTTCACCTATCACTGATTCTGTTCGGTTCTCCGCCATCGAACTTGCCATCATAGACACAATCGAAAACACTGGGATCGCTCTTACCCATAACCATTCGCCACCCAGAATCGTCTATAAATATCTCCTCAACCCCCTTCATCTTCCTCTTCCTTTTCTCTTCCTTTCATATCACAGATTCTCTTCTACTCTACTACAGACACATTCGCAAACATCCCTTTTCCTTGCGAACCGCACTTCAAACTCGAACAACTTTTCCACTTTATCTTTCCCATCTTCTTTCCTCTTCCTCAAGGGTTATTACTCCACCAAACCCTTGATCATGGCACCCAGAATTCTAAGAACTCTCCTCTACCTACTCTCTATTGCCTCCCTGGCAAATTCTCACAGCTGGGTAGAGGAGCTGGATGTCGTTGCCAGTAACGGGTCCTTTACTGGCAAACCTGGCTACATCCGTGGCCATGTCTCTCGAACGGCCCAGGGATTTAACGACGACTTGATGACCAGTCGTCTCCCTCCGAACGGGCGGCCTGCAAATGTTGGGGTTACCCCCAGCGACCACATGTGCATGCCGTCCCAGCGGAATCAGCAGCAGACGGAGGGCTGGCCCCGACTAGAGGCAAAACCTGGCGACGTTGTCGCCCTTTTGTACCGGGAGAATGGGCATGTCACTTTACCAGATACCCAGCCCGGGAAACCTAAGAACCGCGGAACCGTCCATGTATACGGTACCAGCGACCCCCGTCCGGATGACAAGTTCCTAGACATCCACGGGGTATGGAACAAGGACGGAACAGGTGGCGATGGACGAGGCAAGCTTCTCTCACGCCAAAACTTCGACGACGGGCGCTGTTACCAAATCAACGGTGACAGAATTTCAACGGAACGGCAACAAAAGTATCCCCACGTTCCTGACGAGTTTATGGGGGCAGACGTGGCATGCCAACACGTCTTAAGACTGCCCTCGGACGCCGTCCCTGGAAACGTCCTGTCGATGTACTTTGTGTGGGACTGGCCGACGGCCCCGGGGGTAGATCCCAACCTTCCCCATGGAAAGACAGAGATCTATACCTCGTGTATGGATATTGACATCGTCGCGTCTGGGAGTAAGATAGCCACAACTCCAACGGCGCACTACATCGATGGTCAGCCACTGAACCGTGCTGCAGTTCCTTCACTGCTCACCAATCTCGACCAGCCAGTGGACAGTGGCCCTTCTGATGACGATGCTGTCTCTTCCACCTCGGTTCCACCGTCGCCGTCTGACGAGGATGCTCCTACCGAAGGTTCAATCGTTCCAATTCCAACACCCGCTCAACGTGATTGGAATTCTAGAGTCACTAGGCGTAGATTGCGCCGCAACCGCCGCGATCCCAACTTCTCCTAGGACTCCACCTTGGTAGTTACTTGTCCCTCGTTCCGTCGCTGAATCCGAGCCTCGACATCCGCGTGTTTCTTTTTTCTTTTTTCTTTTCTTTTCCAATTACGCAGCTTAAGAAGACAAAATATACCTGGCCTTTGACGAGTCTTGACCTGTTGAATCTGTTTGTGATACCCACCGCGCGAAGTGGTGATTGATATGCAAGCATGGCGTTTGGGATGGGCGTTGTAGAGTGGCGTTTGTTATTATTTACCATGTGTGTAGCATACATAGCAATTTAGTTAACTTGCTCGTGGAAGGAAGACTCCACTATCTACAGGTAGTCACAATCGAACTTTTCTTCGATAATACATAACTAGTTCTTTCTTTATCCCGTCGCTTTTAATTCTCATAAACCATTTATCTTCCATGGTTAGATCAATTTCCCATATTGGCCCTTTCCCGTCGTCCATTTTCCAAACCCAAAGGAATTTTCCAGTCATCCAAATCATTATCTCCACGCAATCTCTGCAACGGAGGAATTTCAACCATCTCCGCCTCTATATCCAGCTATCCCTATTTCTTGCTTATTATCCGTTATTATCGTTTGGGTTCCATTTAGATGTTGGCCATCTTTATACCGCCCAAGCTGAGTCTAGCAACGACGAAGAATAGAGTGCCAATAATGCAGTTCACTCCGGCAAATACCATCATATAGCGCAGAGACCCGTTGCTTGCTTCAATAATTTGGCCTCCGATAGGTGATCCGCTGAGTCCAGCCAGTGATCCGATTGCAAATATCAGTCCCGTACGAGTGCCTATCTCTTTCATGGGAGACACTTGGGCCACGAGGGCGGGGGTGAGACCGACACCCGAGCCAGATGAAATTCCAAAGAATACTGCAAAGAGGATCATGGCTAAGTTGTTCGATGCGGTCATCCAAAGGCCGAGGATAAGAAGTGAAGTTATACTGCACATGATTATCATAATGTTATATCTACCAACCTTGTCAGCGATGACGTTGGGTGCTGTACGGCCAAGGATACTGCAGCCACGCGAATTAGCGATATTCATAATATGACCAGCAGAATAGAACGTGAATTCGTACCTCGCAGCGTTGAGGATTGGAACCATATAGTTGGCCATATGCTGTGACATTCCGTTTTTGCGAGCGGCGACAACGATATAAGTTACAGGGAGAAACATGCCCCCTATATGTACGTTAGCTAATAAAGGAGTAAAAAGTGGGATAGAATAGCCACGCTCACAGTAATAGAAGAAGACTGCTGCTGCGAGCGCTTTAAAGGCTGGTTCTTTCATCGGTCGAGTCATTTCAGAAATATGCCAGCGTCGTTTAGATGGTGGTAAACGGGACTTGAGTGTGAAGTTGGTGAATAGAAGCAAGCATAGAATAAGCAATGCACAGGCACGCATGGTCCAATTGAAACCCCATTTAGGAATTAGGTGGATGACCATTATAGGAAATATTACACCTCCGAGAGATGACCCGGCAACAACGGGACCTAATGCGGCTGCTCGTCGTTTGTAGAACCAAGTAGATACCTAAAGCGAAGGACCTGGGGTTAGAACAAAAGGGTAATTTGATTATAGGGAGAGGTAAAAAAAAAGGGGGGGGGGGACCTACACAAGTGACAGAAGGGTAGAACACCATCGATGCTCCCAAAGCCGAACAAACAGCTTGGCTAAGCAACAAGCCGTAATAGGTATCCATGAAACTTGCAATAGTAAGGCCGCCAACGTGGAGAGCAGTCCCAACCATAACTAGATAAGAATGGCCGAAGTTGTCAAAGATCCTGCCAAAAAATGGACCGCAGAACAACATGAAGAAAACTGGGTTCAAGTTAATAGGGGCTACTCCTCTAAAATAAGGTATTTGAGGGTAAATGACCTTGGAGAGAAGATATCCATGCCACTTCTGATTCGGTGTATGCCTTCAGCTGGTGAGTATGATAGTAATTTTGAAATATTCCCACACAGTTAACCCAGCCGAAGGATACAAACAGCGTGGCAGACGCACCGGCAACGGTTAACCACGCTGCTGTCCCCCCTTCTGGGTAGTCATTCTCGAGGTCATCCCATCGCCTTGTTTCGCTTATGGGGCTGGCCTTTTCAGGGTCGTTTTCCAAGTGCCCTTTCATATGGCCTGTATCCAGATTTCCGGACATTTTGTTAGACCTAAAGAAAGCTCAAAGGCTGAGCAGAATGTGAGAGGAGGATAATTAAAAATAGAATTTGTGACAGGTGTAAATTTGAAACATATGAGAGTTAGAATGATCTAAGAGAAGGGATGATGGCAGGATAGAGGTTGTGGGTAATTAAGAAAAGAGAAGAAGTAGAAGTTCAAGAAAGGACTTGAAATTTCAGAGCATTTATGCTAGAAGGACAATGGAAAGCAGCCGCTTCACTAGATATCATAAAATAGGCAGCTCGGCAGGATCCGTCCAAATATCAATTAAGAAAGGGATATGTATAGTGAATGATGACCAGAAACCTAGCCTTCCATGCACCTTGACGGCACAGGGAGGGCAGAATAAAGAAACAAGTGCAGTCACTTAAAGTTTATTATCATAATAGGTACTACTTGCTAAGCACAAGTAGTAAATATTGAAAGTACTGTTGAAATAGCTCTCATATCTGTGAACAAACGGATAGTACTCCCCTATAAAAGAGGTAATATGTCCTTGGAGTAAACAAAAAAGAAGAGAGAACTACGGAGTGGACAACTGGACTCAGTAGTAACTTAGGCAAGTAGCAATTCATTATCAGTCTAGATTAGCCTAGATCAGACAAGATGAGCTTAGGATAACAATCTTATGTTTATCCAAGAGTGCGAGTAGTGAGTAGTGAGCCCTAGTATATATGTAGAAACATATCACTAAGTAGCATTACCTCAGGGAATCATACGAAATGATGTCCAATCCAATGGGTCGCAAAACCAATATGAGAAACAGGAGAGAGGAGTCACTTCCGTCCCTTTCCCCACTATGATCAGGGTTGAGTATATATATCAGAGTGTAGATCTCTCGATTGGGAGGGTCGATTTGGTAAAGCTTGACTGCGGAAGGCTTTTAATTTCCAAGAGATAGGACATGTCGTCATCGGCAGGCGTTGGCTGGTATAC